CTGGATGGATGAAACCATATCACCTATGTAACGGTATGATAAACCCTCTACTATCCCAAAATACCAGAAAGTATACAAATATAATTACATACATATGTATAAGCCATAAACGAATATCCTAGTACCCCTCTTAATAACGCTATAGTAGTCCGTTATCTAATCCGCTAAATAACACGTTTTAAGGAGTTTAGCCTCTAGCTCATGAAGGTATATATCTAATTTATAATACGGATAGAACTCACCCAAAGCATCCTAAGGGATCTCATAGTTAGATCCCCCTGCGCCAAGCCCAAGGCCCAAGGGCTCAAATCTCCCCACATAAACTTTTAATCATCTTGATAAGCTTAGGGCTACGAATGCTTCAAAGTAGGTTCCTAAAGCATTGAATCATGTAGAATAATTGCCTCTGTGATTGGATTGCCAAAGCAGTATTATTCACAGGCTTCGGGCACTGGGGTGAACCCATGAAAGATCCAACCTCTCAAGCACAAAACACCAACAACTGAATTCCCCTGGCGACTTGGAAGGCCTTCGAGACTCAAATCTCTGTTTCTCAATCTCAACTGAAAAGCCCTAACTTCAGGGCCCAAATCCGAAACTCTATACTATGATCTAGACCCTGAACCCTAAACCCTAAACCCCAAACCCTAAACCCCAAACCCTAAACCCCAAACCTAAACCCTAAACCAGAAGCCCCTTAAGTCTCCTTCTGCGCACCACCAGCCACGGCAATCTGCGCCGGTGCCCCAGCAAGGTAGCCCTGAAGCCGCTTAGGCATCTCCTCTGGGTCAATCTTGGATTCCGGGCTTAGGTTGCATATGGTAGTTTCCCAAAATGAGGGGACCCCAATATAGACCCCAAAAATACTATAGTCCTTATATTGGGGCCCCTAAAATGGTACCTCTAATTTTGGGAAACCCCCATATGTTGGGATATGAGGGTTGTATTGGAGTTATATGGGGTTAGGCATCTCCTGTGAGGTCATGCTTGGATTCCATTGGGGTTATATTAGGTTTAGGGTTCATGGGGATAATGGACAAGAAAATGGAAACTACTATAATGGGTTCTATAGGATTTGGAGGGTTTAGGGATTTAGGGAATTAGGGTTTGAAGGTTTAGGGATTCAGGGTTCAGAGGTTTAGGGTTTAGGGTCCAACATGTAGGGTTTAGGAATGTAGGGTTGAAGGCTTATAGCGCCGAGGTTTCAAGTCTCTATCTATGACAGACTTTCAGGGCTAAAGGCTAGAATTTGAATGCTTTGCAGTATCCACACATATTTGAGTACTTGGACCCTCGGGATCAGGTTTAGTTCAGGGATGTGGCGCTTTCCTAATAGATTTGATAGGGTTTGCAACGCTTAGGGAGGTAAACGCCCCAAGCCCTAAAACCTCCAAACAACGAAGATTCCAACCCCTGGACCCTACTTGGAGGCCCATGGGACTTAGTAACTAATTATAACTGGGCTTATAGCCCTACTTATAACAGCCCTAAATGGGCTCATAAGGGTTACCCCAATTGTGAGTAGGGCTATAATCCCAGTTATAAATAGTTAGTAAGTCCCATGGGCCTCCAAGTATACAACCGAGTAAGACGGTTTCGAATGTGGTTTTGGGGTCTAGGGTTACGTGTAAACCTGACGCCGTTGGTGGAGACTAGCCTTTGTGAATGTTAACCTACCAGTATTCAACACCCCGGCCCTCCACCCTCGTATCCAATTCGTAGTTTAGAGTGAGAGATCCAATTTGCGGTTTAGAGTGAGAGGTTGGCGTTTAGGTTAGGGTTCAGGGTCCTCGGATTGAGATGATTGAGGCGTTTTTCTTCGAGGGCCTGGTGTATCGGATTAGCATGGGACTTTCCATAAAAAGGGGTCCCCTTGATAAATCCCTCAGGCACTAGGTACAGGAACCCCAAGAAAGGGAGCCCCCGAGTTTTGGAAACCCACGTAGGGTTTGTGGACGCGCAGCCGTCGGAGTTTGCAAGCTCGTTGCTCTGGATAGATTCTGTTGTGTACCGGGTACTACCTAAACCCCAAAAGTATGTAAAATAATAGCCCTAAACCCATAATAATGGCCATAAGGCCCTTGTTTTACATACTTTTGGGGTCCAGGTAGTGCTTCAGGGGAACTGCAGGAGATCCTTCTATGTCTGTGAAGCCTGGGCGATTGGCAGCTCCTGAGGAGGATTACCACACTTCGGAGGGGCTTACTCTGGGTAAGTGGGACTACCTAAACCCCAAAAATATGTAAATTAATAGCCCTAAACCCCCTTAAAACAGCCCAAAAGGCTATAATTCTACATACTTTAGGGGTCCAGGTAGACGCATCATACGGCAATGGCCAGAAGATAACTCCGTTACCATCCACACTTTGGTTTAACAGTCAGGTCATACACGGCAGGTCCTCAACCCTAAACCACGAATCCTTGTGGATGCTCCCACAACGAGGCATAGCGAGGGACCAATTTTGTGATACCCCGGTACTCAAGGCAATCACTGCATCATAAGATTGCGGTCTTTCCATGCCAACATGTAGGACAATGTGGGGCCTCGTGATTAAAGCGTCATAGCACTAAATACTCCCTTGTGCTTGACTTTCAACATTCCTCAGCCCTTGACAGTAAACATGCCCCAAGCAAGGGTTTAGGCTTTGCGTATGCTGTCATTACAGCATATTTAAGATTATTGGGTAGGGAATGTTAATGTTCATCATCCGGAGAAAGGCTTGCGGGTGCAGCCAAAAAAGGGCCGGAATCTCAGCAGCCTCCCTTACCCGGACCCCAAAAGTGGGTAAACAAATTCCCCCAAACCCCCTAAAAACAGCCCAAAGGCTATTGTTCTACATACTTCTGGGGTTCAGGTACACCTAAACCCTACATATCCCTGAAAGCCCCTTTATAACCCTATAACCCCCTTATATACTTTTGGGGTTCAGGTAGAACATAACAAGAGCCAGCTTACAGTCTGACGAAAACCATGACTTCACACGGAGGCCATGTTCCAAGAATCTCATGCAGTGCATAACCCAGGTTTGGATTTTACCTGGACCCCAAAAGCAAGTAAAATAATATCCAAAAGCCACCTAAACATAGCCCCAAAGGCCATTATGCTACGTACTTTTGGGGTTCAGCTATGCCATTTTGGGTATTACACGCAACCTACCCATATCCTTTGTTGAGTTGCAATACTAACAAAAAGGTCGTGTACAGGGGTACCTAGGGACTCACTAGTAATGCGTAGAGGTTACAAGCATAAGCTATAAGAAGTGGTCGCCGATTAATGATCATATATAGAGGGCTCTCTGAGAAACTTGCATATCCTACATTGATCAGGATCCGCGCGGCCAGAGGTTTGTGTTCTCGGGTTCTACAATTTGCGGTCTCGTGGTATTGCGCACCCTGGTTTTGCAACTAATTGATCACTTTAGAGGGTCTGATGAGGGGTAGTGGCTACTTGAACATCAATATGAATATGAATATGGCCTGTGCGACCATGATTACACCGCTGGCTTGCAGTCGTTGATCTGTTGATTACCCTGAGCCTGCGCCCCCACAACATAAAGCTTTTTTGACCAACGCTTGGATTTTTTGTGGCTGGCCCAGACTTGCAGCTGCTACCACGCATGTTCATCTCATCGGTAGTCATGTTCCGCCATGCCTGGTTTGTCAGGGCCGACTTGGTCTTCTTATAGGTTGTAGCAGATGTATTGCCAACATGGCATGCGCGGCAAACAAAACAAGTAAGACCCACAACAATTAAACCAAATTCCTGAATAATCCCATCCCCAAATAATACGCCCCCACCCCCCTAATAATGAACATTTGGGCAAATTTGTAACGGTGACATTAAATTTTGGGCGGATGAGGGGGGGAGAAAACAGATCTGCGAAGAAGTCCAGGTCTTCGTTGAGAATGAGGAATTGCCTACAGGCTAGTACGAATGGTAATTTCGTACAATTGGTAGTTTTCCTAAACAGGGGAAACCCACTCTAGACCCTAATAAATTAGGGAACCCCCCAACAAGTAACCCTAAGTTTGGGAAACCCTAAACCCTACATCATATCTCTTGTTATGGGGGGGAGTACCTTTAATCTTCGGAAACTCCATATGCGACTTGGCCTACATAGCCTAAACCCTAAACCCTAGGCCCTGTAGTGCTGAAAGAAGTCCACCTGGACAAAGCTGACGAAGCTTATCATCTTCAAACTAGTCAGCTTCTACATTGTACGTCTTTGGGTTTAGGGATTAGGGGTTTAGTGTGTAGGGGCTTAGGGTTTAGGGGAATCAAGCGGCTGGATGTGATCTGCAGGCAACGGCGTTCCGCTGCAAACACCCAAATACAATGCCTCTGACTACCTTGGGACAAGGTTGCTACACTGCTGCAATGACAATACTCGCACGCATGACTAAAAACCTATTCAAACTATCACAGCAAAGAAACAAGCGACAACTCATATTCAGGGCAGTGCCGCATGTCTGAACATAATGAATGCTGCTAACCCTGTCAAACCCATCAGAAGCCTGCCCATATCAAAGCCATAGATTTACGAAACCCAAGACAGCAGTCCCTAAAAACTCATCGACCCCTTCGCCGGAAAATCCTTGTGCAACTGTGCTGCATGGGTATGATTGAATGCCTGTGAGTAGCAGCCCTAAACCCTAAACCCTAAACCCTGGTTGAGGTTTGGGGCGACTTTAGCCCCCCCCCCCCCCCGACAAAGGCAGGTTAAAGAGGGCTTGCAAACAGTTCTCGACCCCCCTGATCCAGCCTTGAAAAATGGTTGAACGAACCTGCTTTAAAAACAAAAGAGCTTGTTGGGAAATCACTGCTTGTTGATCTTTTTTTGAAGATGTCTAACCCTATGTCCTCTAGCAGCGAGACTTTATTAAAACCGATCAGAACTTGAAAAGCTGCAAATTCAGAGGCGCCTCAATGAAAACCTGCACATTACCCGAAAAGCTTGTGCCCCCACCCTCCCCCTGGACCACTCAAAATGATGGGCTGCCTTTGGAATCCGGCTTTTCAGAGTGAGCTTCAAACCCTTCGCCAACCTCCAGGGTCGTGGATGAAAGGTTTCAGGAGATGAAAGCTTTGAATCCAGGATGCGTGCTTAAGTCCTAGGCTTTTGGGCAAAGGTTTGAGAGGGTAGATCCTGCCTTAAAATGTGTCTATTCAGGTGTTGACTCTAAACCGGGGATTCAGCTCCTCAGGCGTGGGATGCTATCTGGTTTCGGGGCCTAAGCCCTAAACCGCGTTTGGATGGATGGTGTTAGTTGTAGGAAGGATCTCGTCTGCCCTACGTCTATACCAACACCACCTCATACAGTCTACATCCCAAGCACAACCTTTCCGAAACGAAAACAAGCCCTCCTGCCCCAACCCTAAACCCTGAGCCCTACACCCTCAACCACAAACCCTGTAGCTACACCCCAAACCCTTAATAAAGAGCCTCTTCTTTTGTTCCGCCTTTCTCTGTATGAGCTCCTGGCACGGCGATAAAATTAGGGCTTGAGCTTCATGACTCGGGATGGTTTGGGTTAAGGATGTTGGGTTTGGGGTTTAGGTTGTGCGGTTTAGGGTTAAGGATTTAGGCTTTGGGGTTTAGAGTTGTTGGTTATTTAAGGCTTGGGGTTTAGGGTTTGGGGCTTAGGGTTTGGAGTTTCGGGGTGTGTTTGGGGTTTAGGGTTTTGGGTTTTGGGCTGAGGGTTTAGGGCTGAGGGCCAAATACACGCTCATGTGTATATATATATAGACAGATATATGTATATATAAATATATATACATACATACATACGTACATGTAACATTGCACATATGCGTACATGTTTATACGTGTGGGTGTGTTCGTGTGTGTGTGTGTATGTGTGTATGTATGTATGTATGTATGTATGTACGTACATATTTATGTACAAGAGAGCACATCGCATGGGCCATATTGGGAATAAATTGATATGCTGTTTTGAAATTTAAGAATTAGACCACTTGAAGGCTCCAGCGGAGTCCCCAAGGTGCTCAGTGGAGGAGCCTGTGGGGGAGAAGGGGTCTGCTTGTCTGAGAGAACAAGTGGGTCGAATCTTCATCCTACCGCAATACAAGGATCCATTCCTTCATTCCTAGTTAACCAAAAGGCCAGTAAATAAAGGAAGCATATTCTCGCGTCTTAATCCGTTTCCCTGGTTGTAAATGCTCCTTAACACTACTACCAACCAAACATGCCACATTTCCTATGTCCATCAGCCCCAACCCGACACTTCAGATTTCACCACTTGGGTTACATCCAAATGCCAGAGGGTAGACAAGAAAGAGGGCAACTGAATTTTGACCAAAACAGCAGAAAAGTACTCGACAGAATCATAGGAACGCGCAAGTAATATAGCCTCAGGCACAAACCGAGAGTCCTAGATCCAATTCTTCTCCCCGGATCTGACATCCCATACAAGCCGTTCTGCTTCAATGGGTCCAGGGTTCAGGGTTAAAGGCCCTAAGCCCTAAAGCCTAAACCCTAAAACCTAATCCCTACACCCCAAACCCTACTGTAAATTACCCCATTATGGTAGTTTCCATTTTCTTTTCCATTATCCCAATATAAACCCTAAACTCTAAATCCTAACGCCTAAACTCTAAGCCATATATACCCACCTAGATATCCCTATGTAACCCCTATAACCCCTTTTTAAAGGGTAACCCCAACATAGCCCTAATATAACCTCAAAACAACCCCAACATAACCCTGACATGACCCTAAATATAACCTCAATTTAACCCTAAAATAACCCCAAATATAACCCTACGTAATGTACACCCAATATAACCCTAATATAACCCAAATATAACCCTAATATAACCCTAATATAACCCTAGTATAAACCCAATATAACCCTAATATAACAGTAATATTACCGCAATTTAACCCTAATGTAACCGTAACCCTAATATGAACCCTATAAACCGTGGGTTTAGGCTCTGGGTCGGAATGCCTTCAGTCGCTTCTTTCGCAAGGCGTCTTGACGATGGCGGTGCATGTCAAGCAGCTTTTTCCTAGCATCAAAACGTACTGTCCTTAAGCTAGGGTTTAGGGTTTAGTGTACTGTCCTTCAGCTGGGGTACCCCTGACCCCATATAAACCCCAAAACTCTAGAATCATCCTTCGTGTAGGGACCCCCCAAACAGTACCCCTCTTTTGGACCATCCTCAAAAACTCGCAACGTTGCGCTCAGGGTTTTGAGGCGCCGAATGGGGATTCATGGTTTTTTCTCTTTAGCTCGTGTAGTATGATGGTTTCTGTGGTCTGCTTACAAGGACCAGATAGCGTTAGGGTGTAGGGTGCGGGGTTTTAAGGTTTAGGGTTTAGGGGATCTTGAAAGCTGTACGGACTTATGAAGAGGGCTTAATGGGTTTGGGCTTAGGAGTAGAGATTGGGGTGGGGGGCTTACATAGACGCTCATCACCAAGCCATGAAGTCCATGAAAGGTGATATGTACCCTAAACCCTAAACCCGAGTTTACCTCAACATTTGGGTCCTAAAGACCTATAAACCCTAAATCCAAAAATCCTAAACTCTAAACCCTGAATCCCAAAATCCTAAAACCTAAACCCTAAATCCAAAAATCTTAAACCCTAAACCCTAAATCCAAAATTCCTAAACCAACTTTGGTGATTCTCGGGATGCTTCCATGTTGCAAGCGTTTGAACATGGGGTTAGCAAGAACTCGACGTTGTGTGCAAACATTGGGAACCCGCAAGTGCCTATTTGGAGGTCCATGGGACTCAGTAAGTACTCATTACTGGGTTATAACCAGTCTTATAGTCCCTCCCTGGCTTTCTTATTTATAACTCAGGTAAACGCGTGACTTGTGCCTTAATCATAGGCAGTTGCTTAGTCCCGTGAGCCGCCAGGTAGGGTTCCAGAATGAGAAGCACTTTAGCATGTGAGGGCCCGCTTGAATCCCGGAAATCCAAGCGCAGCAGCTTCTTCCATCTTTGTTAAACAATCATATAGAGGTCCACGTGCCCAAATCGTGATTCAGATCCCAATTTTTCATATACTGTTGTGCTCAGAAAGCCGGAACTGGAGCCACCCATAAGGTTCAGGTCTAGGGCTTGAGGGCTTGAGGGTTTAGGGTCCAAGGTTCCAAAGTTCCAGGTTTCAGGATTTTGGGGTCTAGGGTTTAAGGGTTTAGGACTGAGAGATTTGAACAGACAACGCTGATGCCTTCAACTAAGCCCAGCGGCCAGCGCTGAAGATGGCGTCTGAGGCGGGAAACCTGTTCCTCCATCTTCGTATCGGCCTTCTCAAGCACCCTAAACCCTAAACCGCGAATGTAATGTTTAGGATTCAAGGCCTGGGGGCTAGGATTTAGGGTTACCTGAAACCCGCATCCCACAGAAAACGAATTGTTTTTTGAACCCTTTGGTCTCTTGTTTTTCGGGTCGTTTGATCGGCTACTTTTTCGGCTACTTTGGGGGTCCAGGTAGCAGTTAAATGCTTTGGGGTTTCTAAGGGGTGTTGGGTTCAAGATTTGGGATATTGAAGCTATGGACGTAGACAGGGTGGCTGGATGCGGCCGCGGTTCAGGGCGTCTTGGCCAACCATTTATACAGGTTCTCGGTGAGTTGGGCGGTGAGTGTAAACCCTAAACCTCTCCCTGACCGCAAATGTATGTAAAAAATTGCTGCTTTTTTGGTTTAGGGCGATTATTTTGGATACTTCTGGGGTGTAGGTAAGGCCTTTGAAAGTTTAAGAGCTATCCTACTGAGGAGTTTGGGCATTTGCAGTGTCAAGGTAGGGTGTACATTTCATGGCTCCAGAGTCTGGGTTCCAGGCTTTCCATGAGAACCCCCAAAACAGGGAATGAAGGCTTTCCAGTATCCTGAACACCAAAGTGCTTCGAACCATTGCCTGGCACTGTGCAATCCCCATAAACCGCACCAGACATTCCGTGGAAGAACTTGGGCGCGTTTCACTACAGCTAAGAAAAACAGCACTTGTGCTTTAAAAGCAGCAGCAAACAACATGGTCCACAAACAATGAATGTATGATCCGAAAGAAAGTGGATCACATTCAGTGCTGGCCTGGTATGGTAGTCACATAAACCTTAATAAGCCCTACATTCGACGCCGTGCATCCAAACCTGAAATCCTAAGCCCTGAGCCCTGCCCCCTCATCCCAAAGCCCAAGTCCTAGATGGAAAGACCTAACAGTTTCCAAAAATTAGGTCCGGCCCATATACCCCTGAAGACACTATAGTTGCTGCAAGGATTCTTTCCTATAAAAAGGACTCCTGAGTTTAGGAAAACTCACCCGAGAGCCCAAGCAGCAGATCCTAACTCCTACCTAAACCCAACAGTAGGTAAAATAATAGCCCCAAACCCACCAAAAAACACAACAGGCTATGATTCTACATACTTTTGGGGTTCAGGTAGTCCCTATACCCTATTGTGCCTAAACCCTACCTAGCATGCCTTGATCACCGCTGAGAACAACGTCCTTCGCACACGTCGCGCGCGACGATCCTCTGAGCGCATGCGCCTGTTCTCCTTACTGTGGATGCGCAGAACCCTAATGCGGTTTCAGGTTTCCGGTTCAGGGTTTAGAGACGCCTGAGGGTCCAGCTACCCAATAATCATGCATATAATTACCCAGAACTGATACTGCAATCACTATTACCCAAATCCCAAGTACTGAATTATTGGGTACTTGGACCCTTATGCGAAAGTAAATGATTTGAGGTTTGGTGTTCCGAATTTACGAGCCTCTTTCGAGTTTAAGGCGATCTGGGCTTTCGAGTCCTACCCATGATGACCCAGTTGCTATGTTTAGGGCCTGGGGGCAAGTGCCGGCCTGGCCGCCGGCTTCCCCTACCCACCCAGCCATCATGCGAAAGCCAAGCCCACCCCGGCGCTGCTGATGCTCCTGATTGAAGGAAATGTACGAAAAAGTTATGTTCTTGCTACCTGGGATGTTTTTAGGTTTGGAAGCTAGTATCTCTAGTTTACCTGAAGACGGCCCAAAATGGGGTGTGCTGATGATGTTCCTGTACGAGGCGCGCGCGTGCGAGCTTCTTACAGAAGCATCAACAGCACAATTGGGACCCCATTTGGGCTTATTATTGGGATCAGGAGTGGTCCAAAACGCAAGAAAAGCCCTTCGCCGGTGCGCAAGCACCATCAGCACAACTAGGACCCCATTTTTGCGTAAGCTACCAGAAAAAAGAAGACCTTAAAACTTTGCACCAGCTATTTGGGGGTAAGCTATCGACAAGAACACCTAAAAACCTTTCAAAAAACCATCCACAACAGCCAGAACACAAGCCTTGGGGTCCTGTTTGGGGTTACGGTAGGGAGAAGAGGCCCTCCAAGTTTGCTTAAGTCCCAAGGACAAAACTCTTATAGAGGATTCTCAACATTGCTTCCTGCCCAGGGTTTAAGGTCTACGGCTTTCGGGCTTAGGGTTGGCCAGGCCGGCACTTGCCGCCAGGCCCGACATTTAATGGACGTGCATTCCTTACTGGGGTAAACTAAGGACTATGTCCGCTGTTAATAAGGCGTATATTGACAGTAGCTCATATGGGAAGATCGGAGAAACTGTTCTACATATCAAAAGAGGAGAGACACCGTAATCCTCCTGAATCCTCAATGTGTTCGAAAGCATGTTTGGGCCCTGACCCCAAACCAAGGAAGTTGCCAAGAAGGCAACGATGCACAAGAGTGATACCTGGACCCCCCAAAGTGGGCAAATAGTGGCCTTAAACCCGTAAAGGTAGCTAAAAAAGATGTTATGGCTTGGGAGTTTAGGCAGTCTAATTTACCTGAACCCCAAAAGTATGTAAAATAATAGCCCATAACAACTGAAAACAGCCAAAAAAATTGAAATACTACATACTTTAAGGGGTCCAGGTAGGTCTCTTCAGTTCCCTCAATCCGTCTTGCCAAACCCTACAGTATAGTCCCTACCTAAACCCCAAAAGTATGTAAAATTATAGCCCTAAACCGCTAAAAAACAGCCAAAAAAGCAATAATTATACATACTCTAGTGGTCCAGGTAGACTTCGACCCTCAAATTGTGGTTGCTTAGCCCCATATTGAAGATTATAAGCTTGGGGGCTATACCCCTAAACCCGAAACCCTAAACCCTAAACCTGTGGAAGACCCCCAGCTGGCAAGAATCCCATCTCTGCAGCAGCATGCTCCGGTAACCCGAGGTGTTGTCGTACAGGGCTTGAACTTTCTCTAGGAACGTGCCGTTGCTCCTGATGGGCGCACAAGCTGCAATTAACATAAACACTCTTGTCATGTTTAAGTTTGTGGTTTTGGGGGGCTCTGCCGCTGTCAGTACTTTTCTGGCAGCGCAAGGCTAAGGCGTCTTGCCTTTTCTTTGGTGTTTCGAGTTTTCGCTTGAGCTCCTTGTATCAAATTGAAATCAAATGCAAAACCCCACTGAATTAGAGGGGCTCCTGATGCTTACATTGTTGACTTAAGGAATCCCGGGCTAGGGTCCCAACATGAACCGATGGTGCATGCGTTTCCGACACCATAGTCCAACCATTAGCACAGGTTCCAGATATCCCAGTGTCAATTTGAAAACCTGTGTCGTCAAAGGATGCGTCTCACCAACATGCTCCAGTTAGGGAAAACGTTCCTGCTAGTGGGAGAAGTGGGAGTATAACTCTGAAGACGGGACGTGACAAGCTGTCTGTTGTGCACACGCTTTCTTCTCTTGATGGAAAAAATCTTGAGGCTTACGCTGTAAGGGGGCATGCCCTTTCTGAGAAAACCGTTGATGAACATGGGGGCTCGCCTCATTACTATCCTGGGGTGCGCTACACGCCGCTACACTATCTACATTGCGGTAGCTGTCAACCTCTCAAGATATTAGCAGCAACTGATCAGCTTCTTTTGCACTGCCTCCCCTAAGGGTCCCCCTAAGAATCCTTGATGAACCCTACATAACTCATCCTAATTAAGGCAGAACCTTGGGGAAGTAGTATAAAAGGGGGGGGGGGGGTGAGGTATTCCATAATTCTTGTTTAGGGTTGAGAGTATTAGGGATAGTGGAAAAGAAAATGGAAACTTCTATAGTATATTGAGGTTATGCAGTGGGTCCTCGCCGGTGTGCCAGCAACCTCCTCAATCTTGAGTATCGCATCCTGAAACTTCTTCCACTCCTGTTGCAAACATGCGCCCGCACATTCAGTTGCGCAAAGGTCTCTGAAAGGGCTTGCAGTTTTGGGGGTGGGCTTTGTCGTTCAGGGGTTAACATTTCAGTTAAAGGTTTCAGGATTTTGTTGCAGGATGCTACACACTAAAGGTTTTTGGATGGTCAAGCACCTACCTTCCGGGCTGAAATTATTCCAGGGGACAACGAACGTGATGGTCGGAATGACGGTCCCCTCAATGCAGATGCCATGAGGACTGGGGCCAAAGGAAAGATCGTGCTGGGCTTCCATGCTATGCTTCGTTCAGGAGTTGTGAGGTCTTGCTCTGGCGTCAGTTTGAACTATGGCACAACAGGGGATTCAGTCTTCACGGCTTAGATTCTTCAAAGAAACTATAATGTCGCTGGACGCTGCCCAGATGTCAATTTCAAAGTACGAGACCAACATGATGCTGAAACAGACAGGGCTTTTATTGACCTCAGTACATCTGTGTGTGGCTTTGAGAAAAGTGCTTGTCGGGGAGGGGCGCAAGGTCTCTACTGTTGCAATTTCCAGTTCATTTTGGGGTACTATCCCATATAATCCCTACCTGGACCCCAAAAGTATGTAGAATAATGACCCTTATGGCTGTTACGATGGGTTTAGGGCTAGTATTCTACATACTGTTGGGGTTTAGGTATATAATCCCCACGTATTCCCTATGGTTCGAGGCTTCAGGTCTGAGCCTAAGCAAGTTTGGCTTGACGTCCAAAAAGCAAACAACTTGGGTTTAGGGTTTGGGTTTTAGCGTTCAGGCTTTCGGGTTTTGGGTTTCGGGTTTGTTGTGATGTGATGCTGAAGCAGAGATCGTCATGCCGTAGGGGCTACAAAGTCGCTTCGAGCGCGTCGTGCTCTGCAACATCCTGCTATGGCCCAGTTGTGGCGGGCCATCCAACACATGGTAGTTTCCCAAAATATAGACCTCAAAATGCACTATACTCCTTCTTGTGGGGACCCCCAAAATGGTACCCCTAAGTTTGGGAAGCCCCCACAGTCACCCGCCCCACACCGTCCCAGGAGTCCCAGGCGGCCAAACCACCCAAACCTTTTCGCCTTAGCGTTTAAGACCCGCACCTTGCATTGTAGTATTTTGGGGGTCTATTTAAAATTATGGGTACCATTTTGGGGGTCCCATTAATAAGGATTATAGTGTCGATGAAGGCCCCATGACAAAAAAAAGATTTCCCTTGCGGACGGTCCTGCGGCTTCTAGGGCGAGGGGCTGTACCCAAGAGAACCATGTCATAGCGGCCAATGTAATGTTGCACTGGGTTTATTGAAGGGACCCTCTTTAAAGTGTTTTCGCCGCCGCTTATNNGTTTTGGTTTTGGGGCCCTAAAAAACTGAGGATATGTTAATCAACAGGCCCTGAGTTATCCTTAATTCGATAATCACCAGAGCCATCAGGATCCCTTTGGAATTCACTCAGCAGACCCTTACTACTTCAG